GTAGCCACAGGCACTAGACAAGCTCTTCAGAGGGGCACACGGGGCTGGACACAAAGCCCTGATGCATTGGAGCCTCAGTGAGCTTTGGGTGGGCACCCCCAGGTAGGCCTTGAAGCCACGGGTGGTGGTGCTTGAAGGGCTGGTCATGCACTCACCGCAAGCTCTAATGTTTGTTCTGGATCCTACATTTATTTGCTGTTCTACCTCTCCTTGTACTGCAGAGGGGCTTGAATGTCACGGTTGGGGTAAGGTTTGAAAGCTCTAGCCTAAAACTGTCAAATCTGTTGTGTAGACTTTCAAAGCTGGGAGGGGTTTAGTGACTCATGCAGTTGTTACTTCATAAAACTTCATCTGACTCTTGAAAAACAAGATTCTCTTTCCTAAGGTGTAAGCAAATGTTGTTTACTGCTACTTTTACTTGCTTATTTATTTACAGGTGAACAAAGTATTAAGAAATCATTTAATAAGGCCCCACTGGATGTTTGCAATGGATAACATAATTCGCCGTGCAGTCCAAGCAGCAGTCACTATTCTTATTCCAGGTAAATCAAAGCAGCTGAAAATAATCTTTAAAAAAAAAAAAGGCTCTTCGCATATCAAAGAGTTATAGCGAATGGAACAGTTTAGGTGTTTCATCTGTCAGCGTGCCATTAACTGCACCCCATGTGCCGCTGTATCAAAGGCACAGGGTCAGAATGTCGCACAGAAAGAAGTGTCGATCTGGAGGATTAATGCTGTACTTGCAGTACAAAAACACATAATGGGGAGATAACCTAGTGGTTCTGCACCACCCGTGTGGTTCAACCATGACAAAAAATGGCAAATTAAATTCAGTCCAAGGTGGAGCTTTTCTAGTAAGAAAGATGACGACTCTACAACATTTTAATGAAGTCCAAGGTGGGTAATACTGCACAGGGCTGGTTATGTCTTCTGAAAAATGATTACTGAGCTGTGGAACAGATGCAGAGAAAGGGAGCGCATTAATATGAGCAGGAGTATGATTTTGGCCTGCAGATGGGTAAGTAGGAAAAATCACCACCACCGATAAGGAGGAGGATAAATGACTAAGAACTGTCTAGGAATAAGTCTAAGTTGGAAATTCACAAGTAGTTTTATAACTCTGAAGCGCTGAGCGCCCCTTCCAGTGTGAGAATGTTCTGAGAGCACTTAGTGATGGCGAGCCCTTTCAGTCCAAAGTTGCTTTGGCTTTCAAGCCAAATTGGCCAAATTTTTTAGGACTTTGTTTGTAGAAGAATGTCAGCTATTCTTCGGTGGGAAGGGTGGCCACCTGCAGCAAGTTCTGAGATAACTGGGGTTAGAAATGCTACCTGGAAAAGACGAAGGCTTCATAAAGTCTTCGGTCCAGGGCATTAGAGGAAAACTTTTTTTTTTCTTTTTAAAAAAACAGCAAGCTTTCAAGGGTTTCTCATTAATACATTTTATTAACCGTCTTATAATTCATTTAATCACAAATGTATTTGTCATCTCTACAGCTGTAATCTACAGCTACCTACCTGTACTGGTACACTACAGCTGAGCTATTACTCATTTTAGGATCGATGCCAGAGAATCTGTGGTCCAGCTCCCATAAGGCTTTGCTACTCCCCTGCTCAGTACTGTAAGAAAGCACGTTGTGCGAACAGTCCACTTCCTCCGCTGAAGCTCCCCCACCCACAGTCACAAAGAACAAACTGTAGCAGCTCTGAAGACAGACTTGTCCAAAAAAATTCTTGTTCTTACACTGTTTCATTTTACCAGAGCTTCGAGCTCACTTTGAGCCAGCATCAGAAACTGAAGGTGGGGACAAGGACGGTGATGAAGTGGAGGACAGTTACCAGCCCGCTGAACAAAATGGGGCTGAGGATCCCGCCATCACATCGGGAGTCAGCACCCTTAGTTCTGTGGTGCCACGTGAGGCTCAGCAGCAGCTTAGCCTGGAGTTGGGCAGACTTAAACAGGAGACCTTAAGGTAACCCTCCTACAGACAGTGGATTTATTTTCAGGCAGCTCTCAGACATTGCTTTCTACAGTGACGTGTACATACATAACATAAATGCTGCCCACCTGGTATGACTGCCTCGTGACAAAGCAGACCTTCTAGGAATACAAATGGATTCAGAATACGTTGGCAGCACCGGTATGACAACTCAACAGCCTTCAGTACAACTTTTCTATCTGTGTAATTAATATTTAATTGCAATGTCACGTTGGATTTCTACTGTTAAGTAATTAGGTTTGTGCAACTGAGTGGTTAAACACTGGAACAGGCTGCCCGGGGAAGCGGTTGAGTCCCCATCCCTGGAGGTATTTAAAAGACGTGTTGATGAGGCGCTTAGGGACATGGTTTAGTGGGCCTGGTGGTGTTGGGTCGACGGTTGGACTCGATGATCTTAGAGGTCTTTTCCAACCTTAATGATTCTGTGATAACTGTGCTGGTTTCCTTCCTGCTTCCTTAGCTCCTTGGATGCCACCTGACCCAGCGGCAGCGTCCTCAAAGCTGTTCCTGCAAGGAAGGGCCAGAGCAGCTCTGCCCTGTCCCGCTAATTAGCACAAGCAGAGCTCAGCAGAGCCCCTGTCCTACTTCTCATGGGTTACATTTGTAGGCTGCTGCCAGTGTGTTAACAGCTGAAGGTCCCACTCTTCTTTATGGATGTGATGTAAATCTGTGAGCAGAAAGTCCCTGGTAAAACATCAGGGTTATACTGTTCAGCAGCAAATTACAGTATCAAGGCAGCAACTCTGCCCAGGGAGGCTGCAAAACAAGAACAGAATTTACAAGCTATTTACTAAATTCTGCAAAGATGAAAGCCTTAAAGTGCCACCGCTAAGCTGAGTCTCAGACAACCAAAATGAAATCTGTAAGCCATAAAATACATTGCTTAGGAGAGTATCTCTGTCCTTCGGTAGTTGTTAAAAAGGATAAATATTTTTTTCAGCTAGACTTAGTCTCAGTATGGCTGTGTTTGATCTCTCTCATATGCTGACAGGCTTTTGGAAAACCTGGTTCAGAAGGAGAAAGAGTATCAGACCCTCTTACGACAATCTTTGGAGCAAAAAACTCAGGACCTACGCTTGCTTCGATTAAAACTTAAACCCGAAGGTATGAGGAGATACTGCATACTTCGACAGTTGCACACAAATATATTGGATCGTGTGTTTGTTTGTTTATTTGATTTGGCTCAGGGTAACTTAAAAGACTGTCTATTTTAAGCTTCAGTAGTCTGAAAGCCATCACTTTTGCCCTAGTTTTGAGGTGTATTAACGCATACTTTTGTTTTCTGTTAAAAGACTGCCAATGGTCTGCAGCAACTTTCAGAGAGAACGCAGACCCTGAGCTCATGAGCTGGCTGAAACAACAAGGAGCAGACTTGGATGCAATTAAGAGGGTAAAAAAAAAACCCCAAAAAGAAAAACAAAAAAAAATCACCCTTTAAAAAAGGTCATTGTAGTCATAATTAGCAGTTTGGTTTCAAAGAAGGAATATTAATTTAGGAATAAATTTGCCTTTTAGTTTGCCGAAGAGGATTATACACTAAGTGCTGTCCTTAATGATATCACTAAAGATGATCTGCGGTATCTTCAACTGCGGTGAGAAAGTACTTCTTAGGTCATTGTTAAGAGCTTGCTTAAAGTACTTTGTAAAAAAAAACGTTTTAGAAGTTAGGTTATTCAAATAAGTCAGTGATAGTTCAGCAGCAACTGCTGTGAATTTCATCTCTGATTTTCTGTTAAAGCTTTTCACATCTTAACTGATGCAGCGTAACAACAACTACACCTAGGGTGCTTCAAGCCATCTAAGTTTTGGCATGTATCAATCAAGGTTGGGAACTATTTCTGCACCATTCAGGATGATGTAATCATGTGGAAAATAGGCATAAAGAACTTACTTATTTTTCCTACCCATTGATTCAAGTCCTTTCATCGTCATTCTGTTAACCCCTGGCTGCCTGGAAGAAGTTGTTTGAGCTGTAACCAAGTGTAGTGTTTTCTATGTACTGTCATCAGAGTTGGTGTATCCTTGGCATTTCTAGATTCTCCTTCTTGCTCACTGTAAAGTAATGGAGATGAGGGAGTTTTCCCTAAACTGTTCTCCATTCTTCTTCCTACAGGGGTGGTCTTCTCTGCAGAATTTGGAATGCAATATTAAACCACCGACAAACATCTGGTAAGAAAGACCTCGGTGCAGAAGATGATTAAAGCTTCGGAAGGAGAGCGTGCAATGGGAATAAGCGAATGAAAGACACATTCCTAACAAACACTTAAATTATTAGATGTATAGCTGGTACGTACAGTGGCCTTGCAGGTTTTGCACAACTACGTAGCTTGTTTGACCATCAGTGTAATACACAGTGAATAGTAACAGCTTTTAAGTTGGTGTTGATGCACTTAAATTATTTATGAAAGAGTAATGCGGAAGTCAAATGCCTATCAATCAGTGTCATATAAAGCATTAGCTGAGGGGAAAAAAACCCTTTTCTGCAAACAGGCACCACGCACCTGGAGTGGCTTTAGCATTGTGAAAACCCTGAACTTAAAATGTGTTACAGTTCTGCTGGCTGGTGGTTTGAGCAGGGAGGGGAGCGTATGCCACCTCTTCATAGATGAATGTATATAGCTTTTTGTATTAAAGCTACTCTCACTGAACTACTAAGTAAAGCCTGGTGTGATGTTTTCATTTAGTAACTTCCCTGCAGCAAAAACATAGCAGCTAAATGGCTTTTTTTGGTGGGTTGGGTTTTTTTTTTTTTTGGAAAGTGGTTCATCAAGAAACAAAGCAACCAAACCGCCAGGTAACTGTTGTTCAAGTTTAATTTTTTTTTTTGAACACTGTACATAATACATACAGCAATCCAAAGAAACGTCAGTAAAGCAACTATATAGCATTTTAAATAAACCACTGCTTTCTCTTGATTTAGCTCCTTCTGCAACGA